GAGAACATTCCCAGGCTGAGGTTCAAAGCCTCGTAAGCGTTCGGGGAGAAGCATGAACAATCGCTGGTGCTCGAAGGGCACGGAACAAACCTGATGCTCAAGTCATTCCTGAACTGAAGAAGGTTCTCTTGGCAATGAGAGCACTGTGTCGAAAGGTAAAGAATCAAAGGTGTGCCCCCATGTATGGGAGCTCCCGTCACCCTCGAATTGAAAGAAATAGAAGAAATAAACGAAGCATCGGTGCCATAAACTTGCTTTAGCTGATTGATGGAATTCTCTTGATTGACTATCAGACCTCCCAAGTTTGTTGTATCATTGATGAAAACTGACGGCTGCTCATAGAAGTGAACGTCAAAAGATTTCTCAATGTACTCTTGACCGTTCATTGACACAGACAGGGCGTATTGTCCCGGGAATGACAGAGATGGTAGAGGGCAATTTATCAGCGAGCTTGAGATGTATTCCAATTTCACACTCTGAGAACTTGATCCCGATGAACTTTCAAATTTACAAGTAGCTGGAGGAAAATCGGAGAAATTGTAGCCGAAAACTTGGACAACAAACACAGTTGAGTCACACTGTTGTAACACAGGAGAAGAACAGGTAGGAAAGGTCAAATTATACCAGAGTGAAGCGTTGCGGGAAATGGTTGCAAACAAAATGGTAGGTTGCCGATAGAACTCAAACTCGAAAGTACCAAATGGATATGAGATAGATGGATATGAGATAGAGTCGTTGTATATTGGAGCTACAGAGAAATTTATGATTCCCGGAGAGAAATCGTATGAGGGGACCGGACAAGAGAAACTTCGGTGAATCGATTTCGCATTGTCCACAGGAAGCAACTGCACTGAAGTAGTCTTGGACGCATTTCCAAATATGCATACAAACGGCCAGTTCTCGTACACATTCCATGGGTTTGAAGTCGTTGAGAAGTAAGTGGTTTGCCACAGAGTCATGTTCAACACAACTTGCGTGACACGCGCTCTCACTGACGCTGGTGCCAGAGCAGGAGATATGCTGTCGATGGTCGGGCTGACGAAACATCCAAGATCCCAAGCTGCAGTCTTGAAAGTGTTGTTGTAGCATTTACACTGATTGTTGTTCTGACTCTTGACACACGTTCCGTAGCCGCACTCAATACCATCAAGTTGTAGACAAATGGAATTCGTGTAAACTACCAAATTTGTACCTACTTGATAGTAATCTGTACTATCAAGCAAATTCAGCTGAAAAATAACAGAAACACTTGACGATGTCTGAGATGATGATATATCCTTCAAAACTGCAGAAATGTTGATAGCAAGCTTTTGTGTGCAGAAGTCAAAGTAGCCTTGCACTGTCTTGGTTGTACCGGAATAAATGACCTTGCAAGCAACATCTCTCCCAAGTTTGGGAAAGCTTGTGCAATTCTCCTTTGGATTCCAAGGCCATGACGACGGCCAATTCCTCCAATTCAGATATTGCAGATTTGGTCCTGAGAGAAATACAATGGCATTCGACGATCCTTGATCGCTTAGAAGCAGTGCAGGAGGTGATATGTAGATCTTTGTTGGCTCCTGAACCACGTACAAATGCGCAAAGTCACCATTTTGAGATTCAATGCAGAAAGCTGTATTGAAATCCGCTGGGTTCGATCCGCAGTAACTGTTCGTCTGGGAGTTAAACCCAAACTTATTAGTGCCAGAGTTAGCATTGCTGATGACAGCTTGTTTGGTGTTCAACTTGGAGCAATCGATGCAAGGATCGCGTTCATTCAGACTGATCGCTAGAATGTACTTGTCAACGCCATAAATTGGATCCCAGTTTTGAGGTCCAGGGAGGTTCGGGAGATCACAGTCTATCATGTTATTGTCAGCGTAGAATGTCGCACGGGTGAATTTCAATGCCTGCGATGAGATGGAAAAGAACACGCAAGAGAGTCTGTTCAGATCAACGTGTGTGGTGTCAAACCATTCCAATCGGAAGGAAACTTTGGTCCTAGTGGAAAAGATTGCAATTGTTGTGAAGTTAATCTTGGGAGGAGAAATGTAATCAATACGAAACGTTTGATTTGACAATGTATGAGCGTTGCCAACTGTAGATAAGTAAGAATTGATCGAGCTACTTGAATTCACACTGGGTGCAATACAACTGATTTGTGAGGTGGACACATTCACTCTTGCTGCAGCCTTGTTGAGAAATGAAATGCTGTTGCTCGAAATATTCTCAGGACAAGTTCGATTGCAAGGCAGAAAATAACATGTAAGGTTTGAAGAAAAGTATGAAGCTCCGTAAATGAAAGTGATCGGATACGAACGACCATCTTTCAAGAAAATCACATTTGACTTGGTGAAGTTTGGAGGAATCACACCTTGAAGAACAAGGGAAAAGACTGTGAGAGTAAAATTGAAGACATTTGAATTGGCGAACGCTGGAATCGGGGTAATTGAAAATAAAACTGAGAAGCTCTGTGGAGTACAAGTGGATATGTATTTTGAGCACCATTCACCCATCGAAACATCGAAGTTTGCAATCAGTGATGAGCTTGATGGATCGAAACTAGAGCTTACAGCGCTTAAGGCATACATATTTGAGTCAAATTTCAGCAGGAAATTAAAATAGTCAGACCCTGTTTTTTCGATCAAATCCCTCTTAGTCTCATTGCTTGAATCAAATTTCAATGTCAGGTTCAATCGAGTCTCCTCTCGAAGGTAAGCGTCTGAAGGTGTGATTGATCCAAATGCAAAGAAATAGAATGGAACGACATTGCTGCTGAAATCTTTCTGGTTCAAGGAAACTTGAAATGGAACTGTAAGGGGATTGTTTTGTATCGGAGTCAGGCAGGAAATTTGACTGCTCGTGACAAACTTTGCACGAACGATGTTTGAATCAGAGCCAAATCGACAGGAAAGAGTATCATAGTTCAGAAAGTTATTCCCTAAAATCGTGATGACTTCGTTTCCTTTTACAGAGCTAAACGAATTTTGCAGGAGACGGATGAAGGGGTTGAAATAAACCGCAAAGGTTACTGAGCTGCCAGAGAGTTGATCATCACGAAACTCTCCATTAAGAGAGACATCTACTTTTAAATTCACAGGAGAGCCAAGATTCAAAGGCGACAAGCATTGCACAACGCTCGTGTTGGTATAACTTGCTATGGTTTGATACCTGATCCTCGGAAAGCTGCTCGTCGTGAACACACAATAAAGGTACCAGATGTTTTGAAAGCTTCCTGGATTCACAAACCCGCTCCCAAAAACCGTGAGCCGAGTTCCACCATTCACCGGGCCACTTGAAGGAGAAACTCTGTGGATCTGTAAGTTTGGAAAATATTGAAAGTGAATGTTTGCAGTAGTGAACGATTGACCATCCAGGCCTATGCTGAAAGAATAAGGTCGAGGTGTTGTGAGGAAGTCCGTCATCTTCGGCGATACACAAGTCAGTTTGGTGTCGGAGATGATGGTTAAGCTTGAAGTTCTCATAGACCCAAACGAACATTGCGGTACCGGGAAAGGATTGCAGTAGGGCTTATAATCAAATATTTGCTTGCTTTGTATTGTTGCACCTGTCAGTGGGTTGTATTTGCTGTAATTGAAGCCATTGCCTACAACCGTGATGATAGTTCCACCATTGATAGGTCCGATGGAAGGAGTGATCGGTCCCTGTGACATGTTCAGTACGGGCAAGTAGAAGGTTTGAACTTGAATAGAAGGCGTGTAATCGTATTGACCCAGATAGAAGGGATCAAGCTGGCGAGGAGTAAATTCGTAAGGAGTAAATTTATCAGCATTCAACGAGAGGGCGAAGGAATTGTCCATGACAGGTGCATCAGGAGCGTTGCATTCGAGCGCACCAGGTAACGTGGTACTTTCATACGCCGGAGAGTGAAACGCGAAATACCTAAAGTCTGGATCTGTTTTTGAGGCTCCATATGCTATGGTCTGCCCTTGAAAGGTGACTGTACCAAATCGGCAGTAGGGATTTGCGTTGACCCTAGTAGAGTCTGACGGATCGACCAGATATTTACCTATCACGGTAACGACATCCGTTCCTTGCGATGCGACACATGGAGGGAAAATTTTTGTGATTTCATAGACTGTAAGCTTTGGAAATGATTCAGAGGGAGTGGTATATTGTTGTCCATTGGCTGTAACCTGCAGGAAATATTTTCCACCTGTGGGCAGCTGGGGAACGTAGATCTGAATTGAAGTCTCGCTCAAGTAAGTTCCAGGCTGTGAAGTGCAATCTTCAAATTTAACTTGATAAATCCCATCCCTTGGAAAGTACGAGCCAACAACTGTGATGACATTTGCAAAGTTCGCCGTAGTGTACGTTTGGTTTGCAATTAAAGGGCGCAAAGGAAGAAATGAGGGGATTAGCTGAAGGATTGAAGGTTCTGGGTAATACTCAAACTGAAAGTTGTTGGTAAATTTGGTGATGATAGCTCTTTGCGAATTGAGAAGCTTGATAACGATTGTCTGCTGAGAAAGAGTTGGAGGACTTGGGCAGAGTATCATGTCACGGTAATCGCCATACTCTGCAATCGTTAACGTACCGACTGCAAAGTCACAATACACCCGACCACCATACGAGTTGATGATGCGATCTAGCCCAACACCCCTCATCGTTACTATAGTATCTCCTTGCAGTGGTCCCACCGCTGGGCTGATTGAGTCCACACTGAATGCCCCGAACTGCAATAGACCGCAGTCTGCTCCCTCATAGGTGCTTTGCTGATTGGGTCCATACGAAGAGCAAAAGCATCTGTAATTACTCTGACAGATGCCATGCCCTGAGCACTGCGTTTGTGTGTTGACATCATAACCGGGACACACCAATGTTTCACAAAATGTTCCAATGTACATCGGAGTGGGGAACGGACTATCCTGGATGGTGTAGTTGTCGCATATACAACTTCCTTTATCATTTGCCAACCCGTTCAAACCCACACATCTCCCATGTCCGCTGCACCTTGACGGACAGAATGCTGGAGATGAACAGTTCACTCCAGCACCGAAATTGCAGACACAGCCCTTGCTGGTGGTGCATGTGCCATTACCAGAGCATACTGTCGACTTGGAGTAGATCCCAGGAAACAATGGATTCATTATTCTGCTGTCTTTGCACATATCAATCGAACAATCAATGCCCTTGAATCCTTCATCACAGATACATTTCCCACAAACCCTCTTGCCGGCTCCAGAGCAGTCGTACAAGATCGCGCAATCTAGTCCGCGATAGTTTGTGTAACATTCACAAGTTCCATTCTGCAAACATGCTCCATGACCAGAACATGGTTCATATGGCACTAGAAAGGCTGCGCTGGTAGGACATTGTTTGAAAGAGCAGTCTGCTCCTGCCCATCCTTCCACACAGGCACAGGTTGGCTTTTCTTGAAGCACACAAACGCCATGTCCGGAGCAATCATTTATGCATTGAAGCTCGCTACATTCGACTCCAGCCCAACCATAATCACAAATGCAGGTACTGTTTGCACAAAAACCATGACCCGAGCATCCTTTAGCACAAGTTGGGATTGAGCAATCATAACCTCTCCAGCCTTCATTACAAGTGCAAGTACCATTGAGGCAATTTCCCCGGCCTGAACAAGGCGGCGTTGAAGAAAAAGGATCACATGATTCGAAAATTGAACAATCCTTTCCACCCCAGTGCAAATCACAAATACATGTTCCATTCATACAATTTCCATGCAGAGAGCAATCATTAGGGCATGGCATTGTTATGAAATTTTCGCAACGCCAACCATAGTAGTAGGGATCACATACGCAAACACCGTTGGCACAACTTCCATGTCCTGAGCACCCGAAAAATTCGCACGAAGGGATGAGGGGTATACGTGATATCGTATTATTTGAGATTCTAAGTGGATGCCATGTTTGAATTATGGAATGACAGTCATCGCCCATGTATCCTTGATCACATAAACATGTTCCATTCGTGCAAACACCATGCGATGAACAATTGTTGATACAATTTGATACCCAAGAGATGGAATATGCGGATTCGCAGCCGACCCCGTGATATCCCGGATCACACTGGCAAATTCCATTTGAACAGATTCCCCGCCCGGAGCAATTCCATTTACAAATCGACTGCGGTACGACTTGCATTGAACAATCTACAAAGAACCACGTACTGTCACAAACACATCCAAATGGTGAACAAGTACCATGTCCTGAGCAATTGTTCACACACTGAACTGAAGATGACGTAGCGGTCAAATATTGACAGCTTTGCCCAGAGAAACCAGGGTCACACACGCATTTCCCTTGACTACAAAGACCATGTCCGCTACAATTTGACGGACATGTCGACGACGGAATACTTTTGGAATTCGTGACCATTGTGGGAGTTGTACAATTGCAGAGAGGATCATTCCAGGCACTCTTGCAGTCACAGATTAAGGATGAGTTGATGCTCGGCACAGAACAATCGATGCCTGTCCATCCCAAAGTGCACGCGCAAGTCCCGTTGATACAAGCTCCATGGTTCATGCAATTGGCTGGACATTGAACAGCATTAGAACAGTCCTCCCCACTCCAGCCTATGTCACAGATACAAAGGCCTTGTTGACACACTCCATGACCGCTGCAATGGCTCGGACAGCTCAGATTTCCAATCTGTTGAACCATGGTCAACAACATCAAGCACAAAAAGCAATGAAAGTCAAATTACCTTGCTTTCGCAGCCGATGCCGATCCAACTAGGATCACATACACACGTCCCGTTCATGCAAAATCCATGTCCACTACAGTCAGGCACTAAGCAAGACCTTTGATCACAAGACGGTCCAAAGAATCCCTGCTGACACTGACATATTCCATTGCCCTACGAAGCACTTCACAATTTTGCAGCACAAGTGATATGTTGTCACCTGACAAATTCCTCTTCCAGAACAGCCATTAGGACAGTTTGGCAGTGAGCAATCAAAACCAGTCCATGATTGATCGCAAATACATTTTCCGTCTAGACATACACCATGACCCCAGCAGTCGAAAGGACAAAGAGCTATCGAACAATCAGGACCCGTGTACCTGAGACTAGTCAAGAAACACATCAATCTGAAGCAAGATTACCATGCAGTGCATTGACATCTCTTGAATCCAACATCACAGATTCCATGACCTGAACATTTGCTCGGACAAGAAAAAATACTACAGTCCACTCCCGAATATCTATCTCAAACAATGAGGAAAGAAGTCAATGTGGAAGGCACTTACCCGGTATCACATTCACATTGCCCATCAACACACTGTCCATTGGTGCAATTCCAAATACAAGTCTTGCTTGAACAAGAAGATCCTTCCCACCCCAAATCACAGGAACACAGCCCAGAAAGGAGATCGCAAAATCCATTTCCGCTGCAATTCCTGGGACCTGTTCAAATTCACATGAGAAATCAATAGGTCAAGTGGAATTTTCTTACATAAAATTTTATCGCAAAATACATCCGCAAATCCAACATCACACTCGCATTTTCCGTTGCTTAAACAAATCCCATGTCCATTGCAGTCTGCGGACATGTATCAATGGACGAATCCAGATCAGGCACAGTACCTTTTGTGGATTTGCAAGGAAGGAGAGTTGAACAATTTGTCTTTGGATCCCAACCGAGATCGCATTGACATCGAGTACTTGCAACTGGATCCATGGAACATTTGCATTGTCCATGTCCAAAACACTGACAAATTTCGCTCACGTTGCATGTTTGTGCAAGTACTCCTTTGCTCCTCGAATTCTTTCTGATATCTAACATGCTCACCAGGGTGACACCAAAGAGCATGAGGGAAAGGTTTCTGTTCCTGCGACGCCCCATGCTCCCTCGGAACCATGGCTCCTCTCGCGCCATCTCGGGGCCCCGCTGCTTCACACGAACTGTCGGCCGGTAGCAGCAAACAGGCAGCAAAGGTCTGAACTTTAACTGTGCGGGCTGCACCATGCCTCCACACTAGGATAACAAGACAAGTTGTAGCTCACTGAGGCAGGCTCGGGCACCGGGCTCTCTCTCATCGCGGCCGCTGTGTGACACTGAGCCGTACTACCGTATGTCCTCGTACTGATTTTTAACTTAACTTTGAGTAAAAGAACAGTTTCAACCGCTAGTCAAAATGCTGTCAGAAAACATTGCAATGAAGGCGGAAACCCTCCGAGTCTCATGGTGTTGAGGTAGCTGCTCAGAAAGTGAAGTATTCTGCTGCCGCAGTGCTCGATTCTCAAATTTGCACATTGAAAGCCTACAGAATTCGTCTTTGGTAAGAAACGTCTCCTTTTGAATTCTCAGGAATGAAAATGCAACACATCCGAACTTGACGATTGAAATTTCCGCAAGGATATTGAGCCTGTGGTTCATGAGAGGCTTTCGAGGCTACCGAGATAATTCCCAGCAAATCGAGTACAAACCATTTCGAGAAACAAACATCGGGTAAAGCTTAATGCATACTATGCTTAAATGCGATTTTCAAGTTGACTAACGTTGTACAGTAGGGTGTCTACTGATGGGAGGTCTTTGATGATAATCACATTGAAACCCGTGATCTGAGTGAAATCTCAACAGGATAGGATGTTACTCTACCCTCGAGAACGACGAGAAAATGAGGAAAAAGGTTTGTTCCTCATCGAGATAACTCGTAGCTTGTGACATTGCTTCTGGGTCATAGAATGCAATCCCAAGACTTTATTCTCATGATCGGTATTCAACAGCTCCACTCTCAATGTAGAAATGCCAGGTTTCAAAGGCAGCATTCATGATAACCACGGCTCAATGGTCAGGTTTGCAAACATCGAGACAAGGAATGTTGCTACGAGGCTTACATGTCTTCCGATGGTATCCACTCAGGTTCAGTCCTTTGCGCGCCTCGTCAGGTTGATGAGTGAAGGTTTTCTGTCTCAGGAATCGTACGACCTTGAAGCGAAGAGATACGTACCTCCTTTCAAGATCGCACGTGATGGACATTTTCTTGAGGTGGATAGTGAACAAATCAGTGACGGACCCAACAGGAGCGAACGGTGGGACAGCAGTATCCCAAGCCTTCATGACCCAACGTGAGCAGACCGAGGCTCCCTCGAAGAATGCGTGCGTTCTGATTGTTGTTTGCTCCCTCAGAACCACGACATGGCCTCGCAAAGCATCACCCGGTGTTGTGTATCTGCAAATAGCTGATCTGATCCTCTCCCTCTGGGGTTCAACAGCTTTTGTACAATACTACTATTCCGGACTCGGACATTGAGCCCGAGGAAGAAGGCGATCAAGTACTTCGTCATGAATGATATGAAAATCAGTAGTTGCTGATGTAATGATGGTGATCAGGAATTCGAATTGCAGAGACAGCTCAAGAAGCTCCATCTTGCCGGCATCCCACGGACGTGAGTGATTTGATAGATTGCAATCATGATGATTTGAAACTATCTACCAGTGAAGAAACGACAAAATCTCATCTCCTGAATGGCAGCTCCTGCTTTCTGGGAATCTTGTCGTTTCTAATCATTTCAAACACAGCCATCCAAGTGCGCGATCGTTCGCGTCAGTCTTCGTCATTTGTCTCTTCATCCCCTCGGTTTCAGTATGGGAAACTTGTAAACTTCTATCCTTGCATCATGAATTTGTCTTCTGACTGGCGCCATTTAGGATCCAAAGGGATCGTTAGTGAAAAGGCCTTCTTACGAGAGGTTTGAGGAATTTTTGCTGCTGCCTTGCTCCTTGATGCTGACAATTTTCTGGATGAACTAGTCCGCGTACTTCGCGTTCAGATAGGAGAGTCGAGAGCGGAAAGCACGTCTCTCCAAACAATCTTCTCACTGATGAAGGTCAAGCATTTTTCGGTCGAATGTGTCTGTCTTGACAAGTGTGTGAAGAACACGGGAACATCCACGGCATGCAGACTTTCTCGTGAGCAACTCTCGTCCTTTCGTCGTGCTGCTCACATTGCACCAGGCTTGTCAATCATGCCCGTCCACGACCAATATCTTTGTAAGTTATCACAAACACAATGCTTTCTCAATTTTCATATCAGAAGGCAACGGGAGCAGAAATCTCCCACAGAAGACGAGAAACAATTCATGATTTCTCACCTTCGAAGCATACGGTCAGAGACGCAAAAAGCTGTACATTGCCTGTTGTCTTGCAAGTGACTTTGAAAACGAACGTTGCAGAATGAGCCTCGATGGAGTCACTGTACCATGGTAAACTCGCCGAGGCTACGGTACGGTAGCGACCTCCTACGGCCGATCATCCGACGATGATCCGATCCCGGCTCGGCCGAACTACCTTAGCCCGCCCGGCCCCCGCGTGCAACCGGACTTTACTCAAAGTTAAGCGGACACTGACGAGGCTAGACATGAGAGCGCAACGGTTCGCTCTCTTCGATGCGTCTCTTAGTCTGTTTACCCGTGAAACTGCATAGAGAGTAAATTAATCGGTACTAGAATTGAATATTGAGTAAATAAAAATTACTGAGGTTCAATAGCAGTACAGATTGATTGGAAAACAGATGTACCACCCTGAGATTCCAAAAAACACCACAACTTTTTGATACTATTTTACTTTTTGAAAATAACTCCAATCCATTTGATAAATAATGAAATTTTGTAATGTCGTTATTCCAAATTCTCACTCAAACTAACCCCCTGTGATAATTGTACTCTGCGCTCCACAACTCCTCGGCTTCTCACTACCCCGGGGGTTACCCCCCTGTTTCAGCATCACCCCTTGCTCAATATGAGTACCCCCTTTGAAGTAACCATCTCCTCGTAGTACCCACCGTATGAAAAGGATTTGCGATATATATTTACCGGTGCTGTCTCTACCAACCTACGATGTCTTCAGTACCCACCCATTCGACCAAGAATTTTTGTACCCCTACCCCCTAGGCGTGGGACCCCAAGTCGCCCCTCGCAGCGCAATGGCCTGCATACAGCAACTCTGCAAGAGGGGAATGGGAAGGGAAGGATAATGAATGGAGAGGCGAAGCTCGGACAACCACGAAAATTTCATGGTGCGATGTGCACAGGGGAATAGTTGACACCGTCCGAGTGTAGATGGATTGATATGGTTCTGCAGAGATACAGTGCGGTGAAAGTTTGGTTCTTCAAAGAAGCAATAATCGACGCGGAGGATCTTGCAGGAAAATGGAGGGGAAGGTCAAGAAAGCTAGTATCGGCATGCTTGATGTTATACTTGACAAAAGAAACAGATCAGTCATGCGATCGTTGAGGGTGAATGATTAGGTCTAGATTTTTTTGGAGCAAGAACGAACTGGAAATCAGGGTACATTTAGCTTGAGCAAAGCAACGAATGGGACCAAGCCCGCCGTTCTGATAGCTGATGACATGAAAAAGATAATTTCTAGTAGAAGCTTTCTTTGAGAAAGCCAACTTGATGTTCGAATTGAGGACGTGTCAGTTTTCGAATTTTTTAGTCTATTGAGCACTTTGACCATGCTTTGGACGATGAGTTGAAAACTGTATAAGTGCTGTTCTTAGAATGATGGTTGTGGTATAAGCAAAAATGTATCAATTTTATGCAGCAGTAAGAGTTGTTATGTTTGTTAGATACAACAAAGAGTTGCATCCCCTTGTATTTGCTGAGACACCCGAATGTTGGATTTCCGTCATCTGTTCCTGTGTTTGTGTCTCGACACTTTTGATCTCTCCCTCCCCTTATAATTAATTCTTCAGGATGTGGTTCTGGAAAAGAACTATGCCATCAGCCGCCAGAACTCTCTCAAAGAGAGCCGTCGTTATAGCCGCTACAACAACGGGCTTTACCACCTTCGCTCTTTGCAACAACCTGCGAGACCCTGGTGGAAAGGGCGGACAGAGGTCTTCCTTACTGGGCGCAACAGGAAAGGTTCCTGAGTGGGGCACTGAGCAAGTGAACTCTGTTCGGGCTGATTGGGCATGCATCGGGGCAAATCAGGAGTCTGAAGATCGGATGGTGATTGTAAAGAATGGCGAAGGAGTGGTGTATGGAGTGTTTGATGGTCATTACGGGCCTCGGGCCTCTGAATTCTGTCGAGCCAACACCCCATCGCTCTTAGCACAAGCTTCTGAAGGGCTTACGGCGTCACAGAGCATAGTGCGAAGACTGTTTCAGCTCTTTGAGAATGGTTGGATAGATCATTCAAGAATTTTGATTCGAAGGGGCGATTGGTCAGCATCTCTTGAGGGTTCCTGTGCACTTGTTGCACACGTGACGAGAGAAAAGGTTGTAGTTGGAAATCTCGGCGACTGTAGGGCGATCCTAATCAGCGAGGGTGAGGATGGGAAGCATACTGCTATCCAAGTCACCAGAGAGCACAATGCATCGAACGCTATCGAACGTGAAAAGATCTTGCGTGAGCATCCTGACGAGGTGGATGCTGTGCAATTCGTACAAAAGTCGGGCTCTTGGTATGTGAAGGGCACTCTGCAGGTGTGATAGTTTGTTAAAGATGAGTGCTGTGCAACACTCCTGACTCATCGAGCAGGTATCCAGGGCCATTGGAGATTTATTCTTGAAGGTGCATGTGTTTTACCAAGTCGTGTATTTCTCATCGGATTTGAAACAGGATTACGAATTTAACAAAGCGCTCCCTGACCACGTACGCCCGTACGTTGGTGGAGAGTTGAAGTCTCCTCCATACGTTTCTGTTTCGCCAGATTTTTTTGAAATTCCAATCACGAAGAAAGAAAAGATGCTTGTTTTGGGTAAGATTTTTCGATCAATGCTTTTTCCCAGTTTTGCTTTGATCAGCCACTTCCTAATGCTTTCATTCACAGCATCTGACGGTCTCTGGGATGAGTTGACCAATGACGAATGCGCGAAGATCCTAGACAAGTGATGTTGCATTGCTTGTTGATTATCTTTGTTCTAAAAGTTTTTCTTATTTCAGGTGTATCCTTGCCCAAAGCAAGAAAACGTCTTATAGTCCAGCAGAGGTCTCTGCAAGGTATCAACCCTACAAGATGAAAACATCATCTAGCTCCTTTAACTGTTTCTACAGTGGTGAACACGATTTTTTTTCTGGTCATAATCACCAGTTGATTCAGCAGGTTATTGAAGCTTGCAAGTACACCTGCTTGCTTTTAGATTCTTACAATGGTTCAGATGGAGAATGAATCAAGGAACGCAGCATGTAAACTATTGTGGGGAGCTCTGAGTGCAAACCCTGTTTCGAAACGGTACCGCTGAATCAAGTGTGCTGCCATATTTTAATGCGGTCACACAGTTACGGAGTAGATTATGTGATGGACCTCGAACCAGGTTCAAAGAGGAGGCAGGTGTGCTGTCCCTGGAGGGGTTGCTTCTCCAACAAGCTCTAGTACTGAAATCTTCATGTATTTTGCAGGTGCATGATGATATCTCTATCCTTGTAGTGTGGTTGCCATCGTGAATGTAGTCATGGTCTACTCGACAGTGTTCGATAGGACGAGATCATGTGACTGTTTTCCAACGAGCCAACAGCGCAGCAGAGAGATGGTGTAAAATCTTTAATGAAAGAAATCAAAAAGGAATCAGAAGTGGGAAAAAGTGTTCTGGAATGAATAATGCACATTGTCCGGTTGCCTCAAGCTTCGCAGGCGGCGATCACATTTTCTAATCAAAACAACTATCAACTGGCTGCTCGTTAAAAGAACTTGGTTTGTGTAGAAGACAAAGAAATCATGTTGGTCATGGAGTTCGCCATCAATGCACAGCTGTTCTGATTGATCATCGAACCATCCAAGGCAACCATCAAGCCATTGATCATCCCAGCGTTTGTCGCCAACATCGTCGCACAAGTTTGCAATATCATCTTGGCGATCAAGTTAAGAACAGGAAGAGCCGCTCCATCCAGAATGCAAGAAGCACAGACAATTCCAGTCTTTCCTGTCCTGTGGATCGATTCAATCATCTTGAGGACTCGTGCATGAGCGTCGAGGAGAAGCTGAACCTGGTTAGTGTAATAAAGCTCCAAGAGACGGTCGACAAGAGTTCCCTGACACGGATTAAAGACACTGAGCAGTAGTCTCCAAACAACAGCTGCATCCCTCGAAATGCCATCGTGATCCTTGGTCCGGATGACGAACTCCTGCCATTCGTCTCCATCACTCCTAGATGCAGGAATGTCCTCTTCCTCATCCACTGAGTGGCAACGAACTTTCGCCTCCTCCTTGAATGCTACTCTTGGGCCAGCACAAAGTTTCTTTGCTCTTCCTGACGATTCATCATTTTCGAAAGTGGGTCCTGCAGGGATCAAGCCAGGGCGGACTTCATCAGGCGTCGGCAACTTTCTCTTCAAGCATGGAGAAATCGTCTGCATGATAGCACACTTTCGAGCCACCAAATTTTAGATGGAAGAGGAAGAGAGACAAGATGTGAGGAAGAGAAGAGAGAGGAAGAGAGTAGGAAGAGGAAGGGATTGGGAACGAGGAGGCGGGGGAGGAGAGCGACGAGAGCAACGAGTGCTCAAGAGGCTGCGGGAAGCGGGGAGAGCTCGCAAGAACTTCTTGCGCGACGAAGTCTCGCACTACCCCCTGTCCATAAATACGGTACACCCTACCCATGCTGTTTCCAGTGTCAGTTGTACAGCACCGGTAGGTGAAAAATCGTACCCACCAATGCAACGATGTTTCACAGGATATGTATGGGTACTGATTTCACCATGTACCCCTCCCTCCAATGCATACCCATCCATGGATTACCTCCACCCCCTGTGACATGTCACTTCCTACGTACATACACCTTCTAGTCTATCGGGGATCTACAGGTAGGTGGGTCGTTGGAAGCTAGTTGGGTCGTCGGGGGTGGGGTACGGACTTGCGAACAAATATTGCCTTGGGGAGAAGTGAAAAGAATTTACATTACTAGATGTGACTGTTATAGTTTCAAAACTAAAAATAAAATTTGAAATAAGTTCAGGATACGGTAATTTGAGGGGTTGTTTCGTGATGATGGTAGGGTGGTAAGCAAAGATGCAGTTCCCCAATATTAGTGGGGTAATCTGTGGAGGGGGTAGGGGTACTTGATGACTGATTGGGGAAATATCGCTGACTTCGGTAGAATGGTTTTATTTTGGTAGGGGTACTCCTTAGACAGAAAGGGGGGTACAACTCTCATTGCGCATTGGTACATTGAAGCCTTCTCAATCTTGAGATTTTCATCCATATCGTCAAATTATTCAAGCAATGCCTTCTATTTGAAACTAACACAGAAAGGTTGACTAGAAACCTCTCCAAAATTTACAACTGGATGCCTGCAGGGATTCCTGACAGGATGCATGTGATCTTGGTAATATGATCTGTCAGCGGGTATTCCAAACGTTTCCATAATACAATCCTTCAGAGCCAAATGACTATTTTGAGATATCTTTTATAGCAGATATATATCTTTTTTAGACCATAGTAAAGATCAAGTTGTAAAGAACCCCTGATCAATTTTTGTGACACGAAAAGTAGTGTTTTGGGACTGAGCTTACTTGTCATGGTCACGTTTACAGGGATCGTCACGGGAAGGTGCATGAAGCAGTGTTTCCTCTACGTTCTAGATTTCTCTGGTTAAAGGTGTCAAACTTCAAAAGTTGGACGTGAAAGTCTCAAAGTTTCTCAATGTAAGAAGTTCAAAGTCTCAAACTTGCATGGGGGGCACAAGTTGACCTGAATTTCATGGCCGGGCGGATTCAGAGGAGGGGTAAGCAGCACGAATAGCAGAAGGAAAGAGAGCAGGAGCACCTAGGAATGTTTCTTTCAGAGGACAGACACAACTCCACAATGCGTGAATGCTTTGCTATGGTCAGTGACTGATCGGAACTCATCAAGACGGCAATGAGATCGAACACTTTCCAGTTCGTATGCGCGGTGATCCGTGTTTGCACTTCGTGCCTGTCAGAATCCTTTCTTTACTCTCAGAGGGAGTCCAACGCAATGTCACGATGCTCATTCTTGGTCCGCTCGCCAATCGCTCTTCGTCTCAGGGGGGCAGGCTCAACATTCACCTATGATGAAGAGCGGGAGCGAAATATGAAGCTTAATTTTAAGGAGCAGGTGAAGTACAAGAGACTGTTGGTGCTCTCTGATTGCATGCTGACAGCTCATGAACAAAATTCTTGCTGTGTTGAACAAGACGAATGAGACGGACACCAACGAGAAACAAGACCCCACGCAGTCGAGGCCAAGAAAAATGCAGCGACAAGACAAGGACGAAGAGAGCTATGCAAAGGGTGATATGGTATCTCCATGATAGCTCTCGGCACTCATCAGCTGACAATTCATCCAGCTGTCAGGCCAGTCTGACCATGCAGCGGGGAGTGAAGAAGACTTGAATGAAATTCTTTTTCAAGCTGCAGAAGACGACAACTTGCTGGGAGTTGAAGATGCTTTACAGCGAGGAGCAGATGTCAACTTTGGCGATCGGTGATGCATCTCACTAACTCTCCTCGTGAAAGACTGACAGCGATGAAGAAATTGTGAGGGCAACACAGCCCTTCACTTTCTAGTAATGTTTTCACCTGATGCCATCATATATGACATTATGTTACAGGCGTTCAGGAACAACACAGACGGATGTGTATTAGTCTGTTCACACGGGGTTGGTGAATCTAAACATGTGTTCTCTGTTGTCAACTGCTTTCTTCAACAGGCTGATGTGAACGCCCAAAACGACTTTGGAGAAACTCCTCTGCACCTTGCTGCCGCAAGGAATCTTCCGGAGATGTGGTATGTGTTGTCAAGTCCGAGGGAGCACAATCTTGACGAGGCGACTTGCAGTCGCTGTCTTGCTGATCTCGGTGCGAACCTTGGGATCCGAGAGCAGTGAGTGAAGCCTTGGTCTTTCCCCGCCTCGCGTTGAGTCTATTGTTGCAGAGGGAATCTCACGGCGTTGAAACTCGCCTACGAGAGTGGAAACGGTTCGCCCCTCCTGCTGCCTTTGTGTGACCCTGACGTTGAGAAGAAAAATCTTATGAGGCCTTGTATACGATCGGTGCGCCAAAATGAGCGTAGAGCCACCATGGTCATCGAATGTTGGGAGCAAGTCATGGGTTGCCGCTGCAGTAGCAGTGAGATTGACGTCGACCATGAGACGTCGACCATGTTGATTCTCTTGACATTTGAACACAATTTACAATATCTTGTATTGGTCGAGAACCATGCTACTTTACATTTCAACGTGATATCCACTGCCTCTCCTCATCTCTGCAGTCAGTGATTTCACCTGCACCAGAGGTGTGGATGGCGAAGGAGCCTTCTGACTACGAAAGGATATTGGGGATCTGTTGTGGTACTTGCAAGCAAACGGTTTTATCCTTCTGTGCTCTCCTTGCTTGCAGTGAGGACTTTTCCTCTCACTACCAGCTTCTGGTGCAAGAATCTCACCCTCACCCTCCTCCCCTCTTCCCAGCTCCATCGAACTCTCTACTCTTGCCGCTTCCGCCTGCTTATCTACAGAGTCCAGCTGGAAACTTCTGAGGCAGCTGGGAGCGGAGCCCGTCCTGGTAGCTGGCGGAAGCTCATCAATATCATCCTCTCCACGGTCGACGATGATGAAATCCGGGAGATCAGAAGCGAGTGGCTCAAGGGAGTCAGCGCGCTCGGACGGGCTCGGGGTGTCATCACACTCAATGTCGTCTGAGTGCTCCGATGAAAGGCGCATGGACGAGACAGAAAGCTCCTTGGAAGGCTCTGCCAAAGAGAGTCAGGAGACGAGGGGAAGTGCAGGAGACCAAGTAAGATTAGGTAAGCTGCTAGAAGCTAGTGAGCCCGTCAGGAGAATTGGGCGGAAGGAATGAAGTCGAGTAGAAGGAAGGGAGCAAGAGGACGAGAAATAGACCTGCAGGGCCAGTTTGATGTCTTTCCCCATGATAAACTTTAACGTTTTCTGACTGAAAGTGCACTGTGGGGATCCGAATGATCGGGGCTGATCTGGGACGACAGAGATATTTGGCGAGAAAGTATTCCGCTGGGCTATGCTTAGCCATGTTGTTTGTGTTCAGTTTGACTTGCTGAGTGTGGATCCCGGGGATGGGGAAACGTTTGCGATTGCCTGTAAGAAACACTTATTTGAACATCATCGCCTTTGCAAGTCGTCACCGGTGTTCTCGTGTTTTTGTTCCTTCTCCTGTGCATCGTCTGTTGCAATCTAAGCATCAAAAGTGAGATGAATGATAAGGATTCACCTTTCGTTGCATCTTGAGTCCGTCCTCCCAAGAATGGTCTCGCAGGAAAACGATACTCGACTACTGAACTACTCCCGTTCATGTGCCAGAGCAGATTCCCTAAGGCAGACCGTGATCTGGGCTCAGACCCTTCTTGATCCTTGCGGGTAGAAGCTTTCTTTGAGTTCTGAGAAGCCCTGACCTGATGCAATCACTCTCAAACTTACTGTTGCCAATAAGATTTTGTGCGATATGTGCCATGTGCACACAGCACTGACCTGGAGCTGTCTGATTTGAGTGTTACCTCCGTCATGTCCTGATTAGTAAGATCGGTCAGTCCATGTCATGCGGGAGGAAGAGGCTCACTGTTCGCTGACACATCTTCATCATAGCTCTATTGGCAAGTGATAGAAGGTCAAGTAAAACTGTCACCACCAGCCTCACGCATCGACTTTCAAACCTTCACCTTGTCAAGAGCAGTGGCGGCCCTGCGATCGTTGACGAGGAACTGATCCTTCCTTGGTTTCTTAGCGGTCTGATTGTTAAGAGTCACAATATCGCATGGACTGAGCTGTCTTCATGCAAACTTTATCGACGTTGTCTCTGCCTCTCACCTTGTTCCTTCCATTGGGTTTCAGCAGCCCGTTTCTGTCGTTGAGCAGGATGTCAACCGACAAGGGCCCGGTCGACCAGTCAGATGCGCTCGACTTGGGGCTCAGGAGATTGTCAATGTCCAGTAGGACTCCAGCTGCAGCCTTGGAGTTTGCGCGCGGCCGACCCGCCATGACGCCGACCGACTAGGCCGGATGTCAAACCGACGTACCCTCATCCCCGCTAAACCCCTCTCCCATCATTCTGAACAGATTCTGAAGCTCATCCCAGAGCTCATCCCCCTCATTCCATCATTTTTTCGTTGCCATGGTGGGAGGCGAAGGGAAGAAGGGGAGGAGCGAGGACGAGAGCAGGAGGCGATCAGTGCATGAGGACGAAGAGGGAGGAGATGCGAGGGGCGTTGAGGTCGAGAGAAGCGGAGAGACAGGGATAGCATTGGCCATGGTCAGGAGCTTCAAAGAATTCGCTGCAGCCATGATGAGGGCAAGAAAGAGCCTAGTGAGAAGAAGAAGAGACTCAGAGGCCGGAGGAGAGGATTCACGAGCAGCTATGGGTTCCAGAGCATATCTAGATAATCTAGGTCCGATCGCCGTCGAAACACTCTGTCTTTGGTGCTCTAGAGTGGGCGGAACTGGGGCTGTGAAAAATGTGGAAGTCTTGGACGATATCGGTTCGGCTGCTGCAGATGCTCTCAATGCTCTTTTCCTCGAGGAACCCAAATTTTCTCTGCGGCTCCTCCTGCCTGCTGGAGTTGTGCCTGCCCTGATTCATGCGTGCTCAACATCGCACAGCCCAGCCATGCAGACGGCAGGAGCAGGAGCGTTGCTGAATCTGGCGCGAGAGGAAGAAGCGCGGAAAGAAATCGTCATGGCAGGAGGGATCTCATCGCTGATCTCCCTCCTGAGGCAGAAGCCGTGTCCTCCTGCTGTTGCCCGCAGTGCTTGTGGGGCCCTTCAGAACATCTCCCTGACTGCTGGCTACGAGGACCCGTTGATAGACAGCGGCGCTCTTGACGTCCTCCTCTCCCTGCTCAGCAACTCGTCGGACGAGCTCGTGCAAGAGAGAGCAGCTGCCTGCATAGCCAACCTGACGGCGGGAGGCGAGCGTGCGAGGCTTGCCGTGCTGGAAAGGAAGGGCGTCCCTGTGCTCGTGCAGCAGCTGGAGGTCGTGAAGAGGAAGAATGCTCGGACGGGGGTGTCAGAGCTCGCTCCTCCGTCTCTCTCCATGATCTGCGCTGTAGGAGGGGCTCTGAAGGGCCTGGCCCAGCTCCCCAAGGTTGACGGGATGTTGTATGGAACCGGCGCAATCATGCAGACAGCGGTGCTGCTGGAGTACTTGAAGATGTCCATGGAATGGAGGCCAGCAGTGATCGGGGAGGAGGAGAGCAGGGCGCTAGAGGCACTCATGGAGTTCATCAGGAACGTGTCTGTGCATGCCACTCAGGGGAAGCATCGGGAGGAGCTGAGAAAGTCGAACTTGGGGGTGGTAGTAGGCAAGTTTGTAAAGCAGCTCTGCCCAGCTGAGACTGAGCGGTTCCCCGAGCACGCGAGGAGGCTGCTGGTGGAAGCGATCTCAGCAGTGAGGAACTTGAGCATTGGGAATGAGGAGATGCAGAACCAGCTCGGGTCAAGTGGGGTGATAGAGACCTTGACAGGGCTGGTAGAAAAGATGCTGGAGGCTCCCTGGCGCTCCGAAGTTCTGCTTGTGGAAACCTTGCATGCTCTTGCGAACTGCATGCAAAACTCAAGCTTGAATCGTCAGAGGGCTCTCGCTGCAAGGTTGATCCCCTCTCCCCTCCCCTCCCCTCCCCCTTTCCGCCTGCTCCTGCTCCTCCTCTTCATCATCCCCCAAGAACCAACCTCCTGACTTCTGCCATCTTTCATGGCTCCATATGGGGAGTGATATGGTCTCCCAGGTGTATGAAGCTCTTCATGACGCTGGCCTCACAGGAGGCGCGAGAGCCGATAGTGGGCGGAGCATGCTCGGTCCTCTGTTCCTTGTCGATGCTGCCGGACGCTCGAACGAAGATGCTGGAACGCGATGGCCTTCCCATGATTGTGCGAGTCCTCGAAAGAGCTCATGTCCGTTTGACTGCACCTTTGTATTACCTCCTCACTTCCCCTTGCCCTACAGCTTGCAGAGACGATCACCGGCTGTGCTGGTACTCTGCTTAACTTTGGCAGCGTCAGACACAACCTCGTCAAATTCGTTCAGTTGGGAGGATGTAAGTTGGTGACGAAGCACATTCAAGACTGTGGCAACGATGCTACTCGCTTCATACTCATCTCGCTCATCCAAAATCTGTGTGAGGTGAAATTTCTCGAGTTTTCTTCGCCCAACATCATCTCAACCTGATCTTCTTCTTGTTGTTATTCCAGTGACTCACCATCCTTTATCTCTTTACCCAGCTTCCACATCCCCCTCGTCTCTCTCCGTCCGTCTCCCCGTCCGTTCTTCTTTCCCTCCTTCCCTTCCTCTCTACCCTGCTCCCTTCTCACTTCGCTTCGCTTCTCCTCTCCTCACTATTGCGGTGACAGATTGAGGAGCTTCGCCTCCGGCTAGTCGAGGAAGGGTTGGCCCGCGTCTCCCTCAAGCTCATCGCTCTGAGGAGCAGCACCCCTGAAGCTGTGGTCGAGGTGATTAGCGGGAGTTTGCGGACTTTCTCAGCTCAGCTCGTGTCAGGTTGCGGCGTCTGTTATCGCCACCTTGTCGCATGACAGAAGCACTAAGATGCATCTCGTCAAGATGGGAGCGGCTGCGGTTCTAGAGGAAGCTTGTCTGACCTCCAACGAGACCATCAAGAGGCTGGCGAGGTCCTCCCTCAACAGCCTCACATGACATGACAACCCCAGCTACAAGATTTACAACTAACAGGCTTAACCTGACTACACCCCAGCATGAGTCCAGCTGTGGATATGATCTAAGATGCCGGTGCAGAGGTGCTCCTTCGCCTTTCCCAGCTCGGCACTCATGTGCTGCTCTGCCACCCGATCGTTGGTCTCGAGCTTGAGGCGCTTGCGAACATCCTCAACGGCGTCGCCCTCGAGGCAAGGAAGCACTACGCCTGCCTCAACATGAGGAGAAGAGAGGAAGCGGCTCAGTGCGCGAGGGAAGAGCAGAGCCAGAGGAGGAGCAGGAGGAGCAAGGGAAAGACTCACCTGGAACGCTCGAAGACTTGTTCACTTCCAGCAGCCTCATGAGCTGGTTGGCATGTCTGCGAATCGCCAGGTACCCCTGCTTGCAGAGGTCGTCGAAGCTCTCCATCTTGTCCCCGATGATCTGCGGGACTCCTGGTGAGCACCAGCTGGGGGAGGAACCTAGCAGCTCACCTGAACGAACTCTGAGGAGAGCTTGATCTTCATCTCCAGCATGTCTTTGGCGTATCGCACGTTCAGCATGATGCCAAAGTCGACATGAGCGACGGCGCCGTCGCGGCAGAGCATGATGTTGCCGTTGTGACGATCCTTGACGTGCAGGACGTAGCAGAAGACTGAATAGCCTGCCATGGATCGAATGAAGAGTTCCTGCGCCTTGTGGTAGCGCATGCTCCCCTTGCCCCCGAACAGCTTCTCGAAGCACTCGGCCAGCGTCACCTTTCCCATCCTCTTCTTGAGAGTGTCAATGGCGACTGCGTCCGTCAGCGTCTCCAGCACCCCACCATCCTCACTCGTCGCCACGACTGCGTACGGGCGGAGGGGTAGGTTGAGACCCTCAAGCTTGTAGCAGCGGTCGAAGAGGAAGAGAAGCTCGCTAGCGAGCTGGTCCTGACGGAGATCATCATAGGATTTGACGATGATGCTGCGACAGTCCCACTCGTCCTGGTACCTCCGGGCAAGGGGCGAACTCTCCCTTATCCTCTCCCGCTTCCTTACCCACTCCTCCCCGAGAGCATCGGCACTTCGAGCAGGCTCGCTGCTGGGCTGGCACTCCCTGCCATCCTCGTAGTCAAAGTCTTCCTTCACCACCACGAAGCTTTCTGCCAACGTGCTGCCGCTGGACTTCTCTCTCTTCCTCAAGTCCGCAGAAGACGTCAACGAGGGCACCAGAGCCTCGTAGGGGAGGCTTCGAATGTAGGGAGCATGCGCCCTCAGCTCCTCCGGGTGGGCCCCAGCGTCGCTCTGCTCCTGCCAGTCCGATCGCCGTCGTCTGACCTCCACCACAGCAAGGAAGTGGACCTTGTGCGGAGTCTGAAGGACGACACTCTCCTCGGGGACAAAGGCGAGGATCTCATCGTTGAGTGCCGTTGAGGTCCCGAAGGGGAGGAAGAAACCTGGATAGATGCAAGAGTTGATGTTTCCCAACCTCTTTCTCAGCTCCTTGTTCAGCAACGTCACTGTGTCCCAGTCCCCCGATCGGTTCCAAGCGCTTGACTGTGCCGAATTCTCTCTCCTACACTGGAGGAGATACCGAGAAACCTCAATGAGCTCGTCAAAGATCTGCTAATCCTCGTCAGCTCTGCCGTGATCGATCACCTGACCCGCCTGCTCCCATGCTTTCCTTCCACTGTTCCTCCCCTAACTGCACCTTCTTTTTCCCACTTCCCTTCCCCTTCCCTCCTCTCTCTTCTATCGTCCCCACCCTCATCCCCACCTTGTGTGTCCAGGTCAATGTCTGGTAGCGAGCCAGCACGCGGTGACGGCGGGTCACCTCATGCTTGTGAGTCTCCAGACTCTCCTGCATCGCTCGACGGATCAGCTCCTCCTCTGCTGAGAGTTTCCCAGCTGGTTTGCCTGCATCTGCTGCATGAGACGCCAAGTCAGCAGCTAGATACCACCTTCGCCATCACCGTTTGATGACGACAAAGAATTTCTCAGCTCGTCCACCCTCTCTGACGTGCCGGGGAAGTCGGGCTGCTCCACCCTTAGCATCACCCGTATCGGAAACGCCAGCTGATCTCTGAAGGTCAAGCGCTGCCAACAGGCTTCGAAATATTCACCTGATAATCATCTTTCCACTGGACACTCAAACTCAACTTTGCTGCCGTAGAGGATTCGCAAACTTCGAAGTTGAAAAGCAGAGCTTCGCCGCTGCCAGCAATGGTCAGGTGATCCACTGACTTCAAATATGCCCGCGCACCTCGAAAACTCTCTCTGGAAAGTTTCAGGCTCCTCCCCAGATACGTCGAGGGTGAACTTTGCTCTGCCGATGTGCGTCGTGTTGGCAGTGCTGTCCAGATTGACAACCTGACAGTAGATTGTTCACTATTGTCTCGGAAGGGTCAGGAAGCACACCTCCACTTCATATCTTCCCGTGGTCAAGACAAAGTTTTCTCGATAAGGCTCGGAAGCCAATGACAGTTCGCAGCGATGCTCGAAGACTAGACTCAAATATGATGGGCTTACCCTCGTTACGTTTGGTATCAAGGCACAACGAGTCGAGATATCGTCTTCAACAACTCTGAACACCCTTGCAACCGCCGTGTACAATGAATACAACTTCCCATTCTCCACAGCCATCAACAAGATCTCATGCTCTGTTTTCCATCTCTCTTGTTTGTCTTGGAATGTGTTGGTCAGAGCAAGAGTCGTCAACCACCTGCGAGCAGCAAACCAGTCAGTGCATGCGCGACATCACAGGGTTTATCACAGGAGTTTCGCTATCCTCCGCTCAATCTCGTTCTGAAATTTACATTTGCACAAGTCCGACTGCAGTGCAGGTAAGAAGTTCGGGTCCTTGGGCCAGGCCGTCCGGATACACCACAAGAACTTGCAGGCAAAGTGCGAGGAGGCCATGCACAGCCGGATCATTTCTCGCATCAGAAACACCATCTCGATGTCGCTGTAGATCAGGATGTTGGTCAAGGCAGGCAGCAGAGTCTCGACTTGCGGGAGAGTCTGCGATTGGTCGACAGTTGAAAGCCGAGCACAGAGCCCCTCCTGGATCTCGAGGTCATCGCGGTACTTGTAGATCTTGTGTAACAGCCGGGTAACGTCCACGTCTTGCTCTGCCATTCCTCCTCCCCCAACTATCGGCACTCCTGGGACAACAAAAGACTTGTTCTGACATCTACATATCGTACAGATTTGTGCGTCCACAAGAACAGGCTCTTCCGCCAGGTGTTCTGTCTCAGGGCTCATTTGGTGCGCCAGGTTCAACACAGCCCTTGCTTGCTCCACGAGCATCTTTGAGCACGAGCTCAACTTCTCAGCCATCATGTCCTGCAGCCTCTGCGGCATCTCTCGATTGGAGGAGCCGTTGAGGTGCAACGGGTCTGTCTCATCCATGTACTGTTTGATCGTCTTTTCGACATCCGACCTGTATCGCTCTGTAGAGGCTCTCAGCTCCCTTATGCAGTCCAGCAGCTGGTCATGTCTTCCTATCAATGTCTTTCTGAATTCCTTCACCCTTGGCGGCAGGATTCTCTCTCTATCGATCCTGTCTTCGTACACCTGCCAACCAGTCACGGTTTGCCGCTACTTGTGCTGCACCAGGTAGAGATCGGCAAGAGCATCACAGCTCATGCTTCCCGGCGTTTACCTCTAGATCTTGATACTTGACGCTTGCTTGAGCAGATGAACACGAAAACTTTGACTCCCAATCTGCCTGGTTTGAAGCGCATGCCTGGCATGCCACAAACTGACAACCTGGCAATGAAGTCCGATCAACCCATCAAGAAGTCGTGGTTTCTGAACAACATCACAGCAACACATCACTTGACACCATCTCTATATCTTCACATCTAAGATTATGGCGAATATTGTTCAAGGCCAAACATGAAGCAAACTCACCTTTGCACTGTACTGGGTTACCCATCACACCAGCAAGAACGGGTCTTCTGCAGACTCCACAGAGACCCATGCTCGTCAGCGCCGACCATCTGGTCTGTGCATACTCTTGTCGCTCAAACTGGTGTCCTACCCATCCTCCATTCCCTCCCCATCTCCCGCTCCCCACCCTTCCTCCGCTCCTTCCCTGCATTCAGCACAAAGTGCGGCAAGGCACCCGAAGTAGGACTCGTCAGGACATATTCACCCAATTATCCTACGTACTGTATGTGGTCTACTTATATATATAGTTTTTTACAAACTCATATACTAAAAGTAGGACAATTGTGTCGTGCGGTCCAACTTTCCGCTTCTTTCTGTCAAAGGCCATGGACCTGATGGTTTTTTTACTTTACTCAAATTTAAACTCAAATGTTTACTCAAATTTAAAGTTAATTAAAATCAGTACGAGGTTGTTTTTACTCATGAGCCGAATATGCGAACTGATGTTGGCACTCTTCTTTACTCAAAGTTAAGTTAAAGATCAGTACGAATGAAGCCTACAAATCCGCCTCAATAAAATACTAGGAAACGAAGGAGGCAGCGAACAGGATGGGGGGCAGCCAAAAAAAAAATCAATTTGGCAGTTTGACCACCATTGTCAACGGCCGCATCCGATCGATTGCCAGGATGGCCTGGACGGCAGCCATGGTCCGCCGACTTGCATGCCGGTCGATGGCGATGGAGCAGCAGGAGAGGGGGAGCATCAGCGGGATCCTCCCGACCGACCGAGCCTCGGAGATCCTCTTTGAGTTCCTGCGGCAGGAGATGGGAGCACAGGGCCTGACCCCCCTGCGCGTGAGCGAGATCCTTGTGAGGGTAGTCATGTGGTGCAGGGGCGTACAGGAGCCGCCATGGTGCTCGTTCAGGGAGCTGTTCTTGTGCGCGCTGGTTGCGATGACAGACGAGTACGAGCACATGTTTCCGGAGCAGGACAGGTTTGCGCAAGACAACGCTGAGCAGCACCGGGAGCTGAATGAGGCGTTCCTGACTTTGTTGTACAACGACGTCCACGTTCTTGATACCAAGTACATCAAACGAGCTCTCAGCTCATGGGGAGAGGTAGAGCTGTCCTTCAGTGACCTCGCTGCGCCTCCGAAGCTGAGCAAGCATCTCCTCAGTCCTCTTGCCGCCGGGTAGGATAGCGAGTGACGAACAAGTTCGGGCTGATTGTTTGCGTTCAGGACATTGAGGACAACAACCAAGCGCAAAGTAGAAGATGCGAGGAAAATGGAATGAGAGACTGACTTGCTGCTGTTGTGTTGCAGAAGAGAGTATCAGGTGGAAGTGCGGAGCAGACGATGGAGCGACGGGGAGCTTGGGGGTTCCCTTTTTCCTCACTGAGAGAGAATGCTGAGACTGAGATGAAGAAGATCTACAAATTCTATGTGCAAGTGTGATCATACATGACTTTATGCACGTGAACAGATAGTAACCTGTTCTTACTCACAGGTATATGCCTTCAAAGAACGGACTTCGAAGATGCACAACTCTCGATTGTAAGAAATGTTTGTAAGGAGGAGAATGACTAGACTGATGGAAGAACAGCCAGCGAGTGTATAGGAAAGACTCAGGACCCGATAGACTGCAGCATGCTGGATATTGTAAATTTCTCAAAGACTGCAACATTCAGGTGAGTTCAGAAAGATTTCGAACGAGACATAAAACGTGAAATCCTATCACGTTCATGTTCCGTTTCTCAACGATTCTGTCCGCGTGCTATTCACCAAGATTGTTTCAGGTGGATATGACAGCTCATTCTTATTTCCTCTCCAAGTTAGGAGACCTGAACGATTTCTATCTGCAGCAGGTTGTTGAACGGAATTCTACTGACAACGTTTGTGATGATTTTCTCCAGCTTGCCTCTTACCAGCTGTTTGACAAGGCAGATGATGATGGCAACACTTTCATCAGGTGACTTTCACTCGCAAACGTTTACTGCAATTGAGATATCTTTCTAGTTTTACGGAGTTCATGTCATTCATGGATAGTTTTCGTCGTTTTGAACGTTGTCAAGGAGTGAATTTTCATAGTTCTGAGCCAGTCAATGTGCAGAGGCGGACAAGGTCAAGATATGGAAGATGTTCGATGAAAATGGAGGTAGGCATTCTTAAGAATCTGTCCTTCAATCATCGAATCTTGTCGTGTTTCCTGATCCCTCTCTCCTTTCCCCCTTGACAAGTGCGACACTGCGATGAATTCTACTTTTCACCTCTTTCAATCTCACTCACGTTCTTGTTTCTCTCAGATGGAATAATTGACAGAGAGGAGTTCATGTGTAAGATGATCCGATTGGCTGAGATTGACTCCTCAATCTGTTCCGATAGGCATCTTGCCCGTTATTGAAGAGCGATCGCGAAAATCATCCTGCAGGTTCTGAATTTTAAAGCTTCCCCTTCAAACTTTGAAATCTCCATCAGTGACACATACAAATTCTATGACATGGACGGTAATCTCCAAACCCTTCCGATAAGTTCTCAAGTGCCAGCTCTGCTCTAGAACGCCTGCCGGAAGCTGGTGAAGGAGCTGGAGTCTCCGTGGAGTTCAAATGTGCCGTCGAGTACGACGAGTACGACTCCTGCTCAAGAGCTTGTCATGTGACTCACATGCTGGGCACCAGCTGGAGGGATCTCTGCGTTGAGAGGAGGAATGCTTGCTTCCCAAGTTTGCGCCTGGATGTCAAACGTCCTTAAGATAACAAGACCGCAGGCCTCCTGATTGACTCGTTCGTCAAGGACATTATTTGCTACAAGGCTAGGAGAGAATTGTAATTGGCTCTCTTTCTTCAGCGCTCCTCCTCCTCCTCCTCCTCCTCCTCATTCTGCTCCTCCTTCTTCCTATTGTGACTTCACCTCCTCACCTTTTCCCCTCTGCCTTCCAGTCTTCTCCTGGCTCGTTCTTCCACTTCATCCTTCTTCTTGTCCCTCATTGTTCTTCTTCTGTTCTCACTTGACTTGCCTTCCCCGCAGCTCGAATCCCGTATTCACATTTTTTCGTCGACCAGCGCTGCTGTCCTCCATTGTCAGTCTCTTCCTGACACTTCTACCCCATGCTCTCCTCTCCTCTTCCTCATCTTCCTTCACTCCACTGATCTGTTCTCTCACCGTGCTCCTTTGCTTTTTGCTTCTTGCCATTCTCGTCCTCCTCCCCTTTCTTTTGCTCCCTCTCTCCTCTTCCCTCCCTCTCACTCTCTGGCTCAGGATCGCTTTCGCTGGCCGCTCGAGCAGATTTTCCGTCACTTTGCCCGCCCCTCCGATACTCCTCTGTCCTCTGCCAGCTTCAGACTGCCGAATCTCCAGCTGGACCTCAGCAGGGTCGTCAACGAGTGGGAAGGAGACTTTCCGTCCTCCCATCAGCCTCTGCGAGCCAAGACGAGCAGGGGTCCAGCAGAGACAGGAGCAACGTCCTCTCCCAGCAGAGCCCAGGTCTTGGTTCCTCCCCTCCTCCGCAGCTGCTCATCAGCTGTCTTCCCAGCTGCAGGCCACTCCGAGGTTGTGCAACCGACTGGAGAGGAGCTGCTTCGAGTACCTGCAGAGCCTTGCGGGGGAGGAGGCGAGTAGGAGGAGGCGAGGGCGGGGCAAAGCTAACGAGATGGCAGGGGGATGGGGAGGGAACGGGAAGGACTGGAAGGAGGAGGAGGAAGGAAGAGGGGAGCCCGACCAGGGGGGTGAGAGGAGACGGTGAAGGGGAGCTGAGCAACAGCAAGAGTCTGGGCAGGACGTTTGTGAACCCCTCCGATCCTCCTCCTTCTGCTCGCTCGCTAGAACCTGCTGCTCCTCAGCTAGGGGGTGAGGGTGCTGATGATCTGCTCGCGGCTTATTTCCTCTCTGCAGACCTGAGAATGACATTCCGAGCTTTCTCCCACCTCTGTAGCGCGTTCAAGCTCTGCAGGTTTCTTCTCATCCCTCCCTCTCTCCCTCTCTCCACCACCACCACCACCTCCTCCTCGCTCTCGTTCCCTTTTCCTTCCCACCTCCCTTCATGACTATCCTCGCTCCCAATCACTTGTCCTGCTCTCCCCCTCCTCTTCTGACTTTCTGTCAAGCGCCAGCATCGCTAAGAGCCTCTTCATCGTAGTCATCCTCGCATCTGGATCAGGCAAGCAGCAGGGCTAACGATCGTCTTCGTCCTCATGTCTGACATCTGACATGTCATAGGCGAGCACATGCATATCAGCTTCCAGCAGTTCGTGGAGTTTCTGTGCAGGCTGGCGGCAAAGCGATATGTGCTGGGGAGAAAGAGCACCAATGAAATCGGTACAAGAGATGATAATGATGATGATGATGATGATGATGATGATGATGATGATGATGATACTTTTGTGTTTTGTTATTGTCTGTGATTGTGACGTTAACATGGTTTTGCTGCTTTTGTTTCTTTTGAGCTGATTTCTGCTGCAGCAAGAAACGCCAACACTATCGTTCTACCTGATCCTATCCTCACGACCTTTCACGGACCCCAGCAGGCAAGTTTGAGAGGCTAGTGATGGTGTGGAGGCTGGTGAAGGGGGGGTACATGAGCTTTGACAAGCAATTGTCAAAGTTTGCGATGCTGACACAAACATTTTGCAGAAGTCACTGTCAAGATTTTTCGTTAACAGGTCGCAGAGGCATCGAGATCAGTGAAGCCCATTGATAGTGTACCCTCCGTCTACTACAATGACCTGACAACAACAAGAAAGTGTAAGATAAGTTGAGTCGAAGGTTATGAATGTAAATATGTCGTTTGCAACAAGAGAAGATGAAGATGAAACCAAAATGTGAACATGTAACATGATTGCCAACCTGGCCTGTTATGTAGTTTGATGCAGACATTGCCAAGAATGCAACCTAAAAGAAAACATCATCAGGAGAAACCAAGAGAAAGTGAACAAGATAAAATTGCAGGCGAAGTCCAACAATCAAGAATAAGGCAAAAAGTGCAACAAAACGAGATCATTACCGTTCCTGCCACCTCCTCAACCTCTGCGACTCGACGCATAGGAGTGCGAGCAAGCACCTGGAACCAATATCAGTCAAGTTCCATGCACGTTCTTACAACTCACTTCGTTCTTGAAGGTTTCATTCTTAAGAACCTGCATGTTCTATGGCGTTAGCTGTTCCGTCGGTGTCGTCAATCATCATCATATTCAACTTCTTCATCAACAAATCAAAATCACCACCCATAGGCACTAGAGTGACATCTGCAGCATAACAGGCCAACAAGCTCCGGCATGCATTCCTCAACCTGAAGTGCGAGGGGAGTCGCGGTATACCAGGGCGATACACAGTTGACTCTTATCCTGTTCTTTCATGATCGAACGCAATTTTTGTTTCGCAACACACAAACCCTCACCCGTTCTTCGCCCATTCGCAAGCAAGATTCTTGGTAAGCATGTCCATCGCCGCCTTTGTCGCTGCATAGATTGATCCTGTTCTGTTGCACGAGTTTGAAGTCAGAGTAGTAGTAGTAGTAGTAGTAGAGGACGAGGACGAGGAAGAGCAGGGAGGAGGAGGAGGAGGAGGAGGAGGAAAGGGGGGGTGGGGGGTGGAGCTTGAATTCATCAGCATGCCTGTCAGGGATGATAGAAGATGCAGAGCCGATGTTGATGATGGACGAGTAGCTCCTCTCCTCGTGTCCCTCCGACCGCTGGAGAAGCGGGAAAGCGAGTTGGCAGAGGTGGAAACCTGGAACAGCATAAGGGGAGGACGGTCTGATTGACTTGCTCATTACATGATTTGAAGTTTGTGTTCATCAAGAAATCAAACTCCTGCATCCAACGTTGATGTTTGCTCGAATCTCATCTCCTGTACCTCACTGCTATACTCCACAGTCGTCTTCCTCACGTTCGTCCCGACGTTGTTCACCAGCACGTCGAGCTTGCCCTCGAAAAACTCCTCCGCCTTCTTGATCAACATGATTCTATCTTCCTCCTTCGACATGTCTGCAACAACTCCTTGCACAATGAATCCCTGCTTCTGCCATGCTTGCAAACACTCCTGCAAATCAGCCTCTGTCCTGGAACAAGTAAGTACGTTGGCTCCTAGTGCTGCGAGCTCCCCCACAATCCCGTTCCCTATCCCCTGCAACCATAAGTCAAGAGCAGAGACGCGCACGCCTATCATGTTCACCTTGGTCCCTCCTGTCACCAGACATCGTTTCCCTTTCAAGGAGAACCTTTCTCGGACAGAGGATTTCATCCTTTGCCCAAAGTTGGATACCCCGAGTGTCGGGATATCATCGTTTAGCGCATGCAAAGTTGAGAAACAGGACAGGCAAACCAGCAGCAACAACTTCTTAAACATCTGCCGAAACCCATGAGTCGATAACAGATCCATTTGATCCTTGAAGAATTAACCACCCTCGGTTGCAAAACGAGAAATCATAAGCAAGTTGTTCGGATCAATTTTCGATTCTCGTTTCTCCTTTGGTTGCATGCTAATCTTTGAATCTAATGAGCTTCGACTCGACATTTCCTTCCTTTTCGTCTCGGTATCACTCTGTTAGTTGTCTCCCGCCCTTCTCCTTCCCGCTCACTCGGATCTCACCTTACTTGATCCTATCCCCTCCCCACGCCCCACCATCCCATCCCCATCCCCATCCCCATCCCCATCCCCATTCCATCTAAGTTCCTGTTCATCCCTCTTTCTCGCCATCTTTCGCCTCTTTCCGAGAGATCCGCCATAGTTTGCTGCCCCGGCCACAGGCTTCATTATTAGGAAACCTGGCAACCCTGTTTTTTTTGGTTGAAGACTCCCAAGCTTGACAGATTTCGAAACGGTTTCAACAAATCCAAAAAGTACTTAAACATTTGAACTAATAGCAACCAGATTCGAGGACATTTTTGTGATCTCTATTTCGATGCAGCAGGAAGAGGCAGGACACAAGTTGCTTCCATGCTGCTTTCCACCTCCTCTCCGCCTCCTCTTCACACCCCCTCTCCTCCTCTCCGCCTCCTCTTACACCCCCTCTCCTCATCTCCGCCTCCTCTCCTCTCCTCCTCTCCTCATCCTCTCCTCTCCTCCTCTCCGCTCTCCCTTTTTTTTCACAACTTGTTATTTTTCCCATTTTCAAAGCTAATCTAGGAGAACCAACTTCGATTGAGATTTTTCTTCACAGCTTGTCACTTGTGAGCTTTCAGGGAGCCTTCTGACTCCTCTCGTGATTATATCTTTAGTGTGATGATAGTCCAAGGTCAAAGAGATGGAGAGCGAATTGTAGCAGTTGCACTAGCAGCAGCAACATTACAAGGAGCAGAAGCAGCAGGAGCAGGGTCAGGGGCGAAATGAGAACGACGAGCAGGAGCAGGAGCAGGAGCTGCAGGATAATGGGATGATAATGATGATGCATTTCATTTTGATTAGTGATGATGCATTTCATTTATATCTTTTCTGACAGGATGGCTGGGATGCTTCCTGTCTCCACACATTTGCTTCATTTCGAGGTGCTGATTTGTCGGATCTCATCTCTGCTTGTTTGAGCCTCGATGGGCAGGCGAAGAACAGAGGAGCTCCTCAACCTGCAGGCTATCATCCGCTGGATGATGGGACCACGAACGTGAAGATTCTGTCACTCGTCAAGTCGAAGTAAGCATGCGTGAAACTTGATCACCATACTCCTCCTCCTCCTCCTCCTCCTCCTCCTCCTCCCCCTTCTCCTCCTCCTCATCATCATCGTCTTGATCCTCGTTTGCTTTGACAACTTATTCGTTGCTGATGAGAGTTCAGGTTCAGAAACGACATTCTGCATGGAGGTCCAGGAAACGCGTTTCACGGCTCTGGCTTTCTGAGGATGCGTGCGCTCAACTACGGCTTTCATGCAGGAAATCAATTTTGAGGCGCGTGAGGCTCGCGGAGACAGAGAGGAGCAGAAGAATTTATTGTAAGATAAGTAGAGTGTGGTCGACACTGATAAAGTTGTCAAAAATTATCCGGGAGCTCGCGCGTTCCTGGTGTTATCCTGGGGTGGATACTGGAGGAGGACTCATGACGGGAGACGCCCCCTTCCCTGTAACCTTGATGAGAAAAAGTGAGGGGATGAAACAATTGGAAAGTGACCGAGAGGAGGATGTCGTGGGACCTTGTCCAAGATGTGCATGATCTCATCATGTTCAAGATGGCTGTGAGCCCATCATGTCATGAAGTTCTGATTGACTCGGGAACATGTACCTGTAGTCTTCGTACAACTCCAAGAGCTTCTCTTGTACTTCCTGTTATCGAACGTGCGCGTCAAGAAATCGCGTCTTGTCCAAATCCGCGTTTACCGGGATTGCCTTTTCGTGTCCATCACGGAATTTTAGGGTCTTCAACCATCTACCAGACAGTCACAAAAAGGTAAGAGGAGGAAAATAGGAGAGAAATAATAATTCCACCAACGACAGTCAAGAAACAGTCAAGACATCAGCTCACTCGGTTGTGTCGTAGTTGTGGTAAGCGCCAGCCATCTGCACGACCGCAATGGCAATGATGTGAGGAGGATAATACAAGCACAAGTCCAAGCGATATCTGGCATGAAGCAGGTGAAAAAGTGCAAAAAACTGAAAGATTGCTTACGAGTCATTGATGATTTGCCAAGCTGTATGAACGCAAGATTCAAGTTTTGCGTCTTTCATATAAAGTTCAGTCTGTCTGTATGGATGGAAGACGATGAGATTAAATCGCAATTCCTCCATCAAGAAATATTCGGCTGAGAGAATGTAAGCCGCAAGTCAAATACAAGACATGGAATTTCACCATCCACGATATCCCGTATGTCGTAGCTCTCCTCCTTGGGCCACTTGGTCTGATGCAATTCCTTCAAAGCCGACACGATGTGCTTCGGCTTACAGCGATTGTCAAGCGTGACAAGCATGAATCTTTTTTGATCCTCCTCACCGACACCGGCGATTCCTCCACCTTGGAAGCAAGATACAGAGCTGTAGCTGCGATGAGATGAGGATGAAAATCTTTGTAGGAGTTGTGGTAGTAGAATCTGGGCGTTGTGTTAAAACAAGAAAGTAACACACAAGTCAAATACCTTGCAAGGTAAACCGTGGCCGTGCTGATGACCCTCTGACGCACTTTGACGTGCAAATTTCTTCCCAGTTCTGCAAATCGAGTAACTAAGAGCCGACAAGACGAGGATTGGGACTGACGGCTAATAAAAGTTGACATGTGAATTCTTAGTTTCTTAATCTCTTCATCGCTCAACATGATTTCTCGATTCTTCTCCTTCCGTTGCTGACCATGACGTGACTGCACGTTTCACAAGAGCATTCGGATTACCCTGACTTCTGGGTTGTTGTCTTCGTCCTTTGCATTCTTCAACCATTCAGTGCTTTGCGAAAGTCAAGAAATAAAAAACCATCTCATTTCGATAAGAATCATACCAGTGAGAGGACAGCCAGAAATTTGCCGCCATCTGCGAAGACATGAGAACAGTTTCGGATGTGGAACGGTCAATCATCGATCAAGACGGAAGTGATACATCGGTAAAACACTTCGAAAGAGGGATAGTTCGACAAACAAAAAGACATTTGCTGTGGATGTTTGGATGAGGCAACGAACAGTGGGACAAACAATTAGAACCAGCTAAATTGACAGAGCCAGACCGTTTGGTCAGAGTGAGTGAAAGTAGATGTGGGCAAGGGCGAAGGGAGACAAAGAATGGGGACGAGGAATTCTCATAGCAGAGACTGGAAGAGGGCGATGTTCGGGGGAGAAGTGCAGGCAAGGAAAGGCTGTGCAGAGAAGAAAGATGGGAAATTGAAGGAGACGAAAGTCGGGAGAGGAAAGAAAGGAGACAGAATGGAGTGCAGGGTTGGGTGGGAGGGGTTCGACAGAGAGGTTGTGTGCGGAGGGGGAGGGGAGGGGAGGTGAGGGGAGGTGAGGGGAGGGGAGGTGAGGGGAGGTGAGAGGGGCAGGCGCGAAGGGGAGGGAGAGGGCGAAGGCACACGGAGGGCAAGGAGGCTGAGAGGACGAGGGACGCGGGAAAGTATGCATGTACACTTCTGATAACCACTGTTGACTGATAAGTTGAAAGTTGCTGTCCTCAAAAAATCATATGTTTTTTTAATCGAGGCAAGCTCACCATGGACTCGCTGCTTGTGGAGCGATGGCGGCGGGTCTGCGAGGAGCTGGGAGATGGAGGGAAGGAGTACTCCGAGAAGCTGATGGAGGAACTAGAAGAAGAGAGTGCTGAACAGTTTGCGTTTGTCGAGGAGGAGATCGAAGAGGAGGAGGAGATGATAGAAACTGTGGAGAAATTGATCGCTGCCGAGACTGAGGTGCTGAAGAGGAAAGAGCAAGAGCTCGCATGCTTGCAAGCTGTTGGTAGCTTTCATGCAAATCAACCATATGAACATGAAATGGCGCTTCCTCTCCTTGCAGCAGCGATAGACGCTCTCCATCTCCCAGACGACAATGCGCGGAAAGCTTCCCTTGTTGAAACCAAAGCTGCTGTGGTGATGGAAACATCGAGCACGGTTGAAAGAATCAACGCAATTCTGACAGCACAACGACTTTGCCGAGGAGGAATGTGGCAGGATTTCGCAAAGATGAATGTGAAAGATGTCTTGGCAGAAGACCTGATAAAAAGGCGTTTTTGAAAATGGGCACCGCTCAATGCTGTGATACAACAAGTGCTCTTTGTTGTTTACTGATTACAAGGATCATAGTCTAGACTGATGATATCTTGCCAGGCTGTACTGTACATGAAGAATCTGTCAGCAAGAAAGCCGCCAGTAATGGTTTTCTGCTCTCTTGCATCATTCGCTCTCCATGTTGGACAAATAAACTGAGCAAAAAGTGTTTGTCAAAACAAAAAACAAAATCCATCTTAATCCTAAATCTGTCTCACCTTGCAAAACATCATCATCTAGTACAACCACCGATCGACAAATCATTCATCATTCTCACACTCGAAGCCGAGCCTGTTCTCAGAATCAGAACAAGTTTTCACCTCAACAAAGTCAAGGGGTCTCACTTCGTGCGGATGGCAGACCAAACATCGTTGGAGATCACCTTATCTCTCACCCAGACGTCAACAAGATCACGAAAATCCTTCTGGGAGAGGTGGCCAGCAACATATGCGTTCAAACCGCTGAGGAGAATTGGGAGTGAGGACACAAGAAGCATATCTCTTCACTCTTCTCATTCCGTCTTACCTCGCAGCTTGTCCATCAACAAGATCTTCAGGCGACATGAGCTCCAATGTTGCAAACCAGTCTCTCCGCCTCTGCAGCAGCCATTTCTGGTGATACAACTCTGCATCGTAGAAGTCCGTCGCCGGTTCGATTACAGTCACCACACGTTTCTGTGTATTGAAATTGCTCAGAACTTGTTGCGCAGTCTTCTCCTGTTCTTCAGAGTGGTAGAAGATTGCTGACATGTACTGCCTTTTGCCACTTCCGAAGGACGCGTCATGAGAGCGAAAGAAATGCTCGACAAGCTCAGCGTAGCTTATCGACGATTCATCAAACTCGACCTGCACAGCTTCTGCCCAATCCGCATAGATAGGATCAGAGCAAACTTTGCGATAGGTCGGATCCTTCTGCTTTCCTCCGCAGTAGCCAACCCTAGTCCTCTTCACACCAGAGGCCGCTCCAAGAGCAGCCTCTGGATGCCAAAATCACCCAAGGGCAAAGGTAGCAATGCTGAGGGACTCGTCGACAGGGGAGCTACGTAGTGGGCACCGCTGAAACATCTTGTTCTGAGTGATGTCCAGGGGGTCAAGCGGCTTTGTCCTCCCCATCGCACTGAAAGAGCAAGTGATTGAGGATGGAGTGGACGTTGAAGTTGACCGGCGGAGACTGGAGAGGGATCTTCTCGATGCTGCAAGGGACAGGAGGGAGGGAGAAGACACCTGTAGCGATCCGATATGGAAGGAGGAGGCAGCGACAAAGTGCAGGAGGAGAACGACAGTCCTCATGCCATGCACCTCGATCTGATTTTACTTAACTTTGAGTAACCGGTTGTAGTTTTACAGTAGTTATTCTTTTTTGAAAATTTCCGCTATTTTTTACTAGACTCAGTGTGACGGCTCCGACTCAGTCAGCTTGCCGCCGGGCCGGCCGCGCCGGAGCTGACAAGGCTCATCCCCAGCCCCGACTGAGGGATCAATACTTCAGCTTCACTCTGACTCACCGGTGACGTCGGGCGGTGGCAGACTCTACGGGGAGAGACTGACCGTAGTGGAGGGGGCAGGTCTTACACAGTCTGATCCTAAGAGGAGGCCGCCCGGGGCCGCCGGGGCCGGCGCGGCGCGGCGGCAAGGGACTCGGGAGGGAAGCATCCAGAAGGGAGACGTGATCGAGTCGATCGACAGGAGGGCCCGGGGAGCTGAGAGGCATCGGAGGGAGAGGGAGTTGGCAATGGCACTGCCAGTGACGGTCATGGTCGGGGCGGCCCAGCGGAGGGGAGAAAGCGGAGCAGCAGGAAGAGGAGGGTAGAGCCGAGGAGAGGTCGCCGGGCCGAGCGGGTAGCATCGAGGTCGGAGCCAGTCGAGGTCAGCAGCTGGGAGCGATCTCAGAGGAGGACTTAGAGTGCCGGACAACTGAACAGCGTAAACATCATGGGGAGGGCGGGAGGAGAGAGCAGCGGCAGAGTCAGGAGAGAGAGGGAGAGGGGAGAGTGTTAGGAAAACTTCCTACAAGTATCTCTCGATCCAGTGTTGTCACACGATGTGATCCCGTACGGTCAAGAAATCAAAGAGCAAGTGTGCAAAAACAATACACAGTCCAACGGTACTTTACTCGAACTTGGCGTTAAAAATAAAGGAAAGAAAGAAATCTAATTTCCTAAGAAACGAGACTGCCTAGGACATCTACCGTACTTAAGAAAAACGAAAACCAGTAAACAAATCCTAGCGTTTCGCTCCCTAGCGCTGATAGATGAGAACACACTTCTCAGCTCCAACTTCGCTGCAAACGCCAATAATCAAGGAGCATTCACAAGATTGAAATCACGAATCATTTTCCTCAACTCTGGAGTCCGAAATTCGCGTGTAGATAACCAAGAATCATCCGACGACTTGTCATACCCTTCCCAACGAACCAAGTACTGCACACGATTACCTTTTCCACGACGAGCCAAAACGCGATCGACTTCAAAATACTGTCCATCTCGTTGAATTAAAGGCAAAGGTGGTGGTTCAGTCTCATCAAACAGACTTGAACGGCGCCGTACAGACAATGGTACTGAAACTCCGACACTGAACGTGACCGCCGTGGGACCGTAGCAGCACGGTCCGACAAGGTACTACGGGTACCGTGCTGCGGCCCGGTGCCAGAACGTTGAAATCGAGACTCTCAAGTACAGAGCTTACCGAATGCTTACCAAATGCAGCACAGAGCTTACCGAATGCTTTTCCAATGTCCTTGCATCCTACCACAGGCTGCGGCCCGGTGCCAGAACGTTGAAATCGAGAAACAAGTGGGCAAGAACTTGAAAGGCTTGCTTAGATTCGATCTGTCGTTCAAAGTGTGAACTGAGCGTTCACTTCCGTCCGATCACGAATCGTTGCCAACTGAAGTTGAACAACTTCAAGCTTCCTTCAAGGCTTGGCAAGACGGCCAGCGGCCAGTCACCTCGGATGAATCGGCAGTGGCAGTGAGCCTGTCCGATTATCGCGGCGGACCCGGCCGGGCGTATGCGGCCGCCCGCCGCTCCTGCAGTCGCGGCGGCCGCCGCGGAACTCGGAACTTAACTGAAGTTCCGAGGTTCAACGTTACCGTATAAGGCGGCAAGCAAGCAATTGGATCTCAGCCGAGTACGGTACTGACGGTACGGTAGGCCAGCCTGGTGAGTCGGGCCGGCGGTTCAACTATCTGGCATGCACAGCGCCGCCGGCCGTGGCCGCAGGGCTTGGAAGAGGCTTGTTGGTATATCATATCTGATGGCACGTGCGGGTGGTGAGGGGAGCTTGGCTGGCGCAATGGACAGCGCGTTGGACTTCTAATCCAAAGGTTCTGGGTTCAAGTCCCAGGTCAGGTGTCTTCACTTTTTAGTTTTACAAGCCATTCTATAAAATGTTGTTATCACGAGGTTGTGATGGTATTGGGTGCGAGAAGTCGTGATCTTGTGGATTTTGATCTCCGCTGACAGCTCCGGAGCCTCCAGAGTACAACTTTTGAAAAATATATATTATAAATAATTCTTGAAAGGATAACATTTTTAGACTTCTTCCATCATAGAAGTCTTTTTATGTCAGCCGAAGGTCAGCAATCCATCTCACCACCCTACCCTGTTGGTATCCAGAGGAATTGACCCCTACCACCTCATGGAGATACAAACAGATAGGACCACCCCCTGGTGAGTTCATGGGGTGTTGGAGGCAATGCGCGTTCGAGCTAGGGGTGGGGTACCTTTTTCTGTGGTTGAGGTTCGTGTAACACCAGGTTTAACACACTCGGAGGGAGGGGTGGTTATGTGATTCGCAGAAGAAGGGGGGTTACGACAGCGGGTGACTGGTCGCAAGCGAGGGGTAGGGGTGGTTGTCTTTACTCAGGCCGTGTTGCGCGATGCAGAGACCGCCGCGGCACCTGGTCTTGGGGAAGACGATCGGGAAGGGGTCGTATGCAACTGTGAAACAGGCCAAGGACAAGATCACAGGAATGACCTGTGCCGTCAAGATCATTGACAAACGATCTTCTCTTTTCAAGCCCGCGGCATTGGAGAAGGAGATCAACGCCATGCTCAAGGTCTCGCATCCCAACATCGTCAGGCTGCACGGAGTCTATCACGAGAGAAGCAAGACGTACTTGATCTTGGATCTGATGACTGGTGGCACAGTCATGGATAGGATCATTGAGATGGATCATTTCCAGGAAAGGGATGCCATCGTGATGATATCTGATGTTTTGAGTGCTGTAGCATACCTGCACAGCATAGCAATTGCCCATAGAGACATCAAACCTGAGAATCTATTGTACGCATCTAGCAATCCTGAATCACCAGACTACTATACAATCAAGCTTGCAGACTTTGGACTATCCTCCATCACTACCGAACAATCAAGCATGAAGACACTATGTGGTACACCGACCTATGTGGCACCGGAGATCATTGATCCCAAGCGCAAATCCATCTATTATGGACCAGAGGTTGACATCTGGTCAGTGGGTATTGTGATGTACGTAATGCTATGTGGATTTCCTCCGTTCTTTGATCAAAAGACTTCTGTCTTATTCGAACAGATTTGCCAAGGTCAGTATGATTTTCCCTCTCCGTATTGGGACGGAGTATCTCCAGATGCCAAAGATTTGATATCGAAGATGCTGGTCGTCGATCCATCTCAGAGATTTTCGGCTCGTCAATGTCAGCAGCATCCATGGATTGTCGAGGCACCTGAAGAGTCGGAGGGGTCGGGGCCAGGAAACCTCCATGCTTCGCATCGTGCGTTCTTGTTGATCAGGAAATTGCCACTGTTTGCCAACATCGATCCAATGCTGTTGGAGAAAATCACGAGGAAGTTGCGGCTGGTGAGGGTGGCAAAGGGTGAGGCTTTAATCAATGCCGGCGACCAAGGGGACAGCATGTACTTTATCAACTCGGGAGCGATGGAAATTCTTGTGGACGGGGAGCGTGTGGATAGATTAACTACAGGTAATTCATGACTTTGTTGCTCTAGAATTGCTCTTGGATTGTGTCTTGCAACTTGTTGGTGTCCCTCGGACGAATTCTTGACCCCCTCTAATCCTTCTCCTGTTCACTCTTGCTCCTCACTATATTTTCAGGCGATTTCTTCGGGGAGGTTGCGCTGACAGTTGCGGAGTTGCGGACTGCAGATGTAGTCTCGTTGGGGCAGGATGCAACTGGAAAATGTTCCACGGAGCCAGCAGAATTGTTTCAACTGATGAGAGTAGACTTCGAAGAGATCATGGGCGAGTTTCCTCCTTTGATGCGAAGACTAGCGCATGTTGGAAAGGTGGTTAGGCATGGTGCTGCTCCCTTCCTCTGACGTTGAAGTGCAGGCAAGGGTGCGGAGGGCTTCCTCACAGTCAAGGAGTCCAGAGAGAAGGTCGCCCTTGCAGTACGATGCTGCTCCCAGGTACTTCAACGAGGAGGACTCGAAGCATTCCGACGGAAGCTCGAGCGCTGGCTCGCCCGTCGCAACGAGTGCCAGCAGGGCTGTTGAGGAGCCCGACGAACTGAATGATTTTGAGAAAGAACTCGAAACCCTGCATGCAGAGTTGCACGCGCAAGAGGAGAAGAAGAAGAGGATGGAGGCAGGTGCCGAGAAGAAAGCGGATGGAGACAGCCAGCAAGAAAGGAAGGAGGAAGAGGACGACTCGAGTGAAGAAGAGGAAGATGGAGGTGAAAGATTCGAGCGGCGAAGCAGCAGAGGAGCTACAAGAGAATGGTGTCATCAACAGTAAAGGGGAAACGCCTCTAAAACTCTCCTTCTTAGCCTTCAGCTCCTAGTCTTCCTCTTCTCCCTCCTTCAGTCTCCTGCTCCCTTCAGCCTGCTGCTAGATCGCTTCCTCTTTCCAAATGTCGCCTCTACTTTCGCTCCTCCTACGAATTCTGCATTTTCGTCCTACAGTGACTCACCTTTCGAGTGCAGTGAGTTGGGGGTTTAAGGTAGGATATTTCATAAGTCAGGTATTAATGGATTAGAAGTAGGTCGGGGAGATAGAGGTACGAGGTCCCTAGCATTCCCAAGGCGAAAACAGAGGGTAGCGGAAGCGAAAACGCAGAAGGGAAGGGCGCGAGAGAGGAAGAGGAGGAGGAGAGGAGGAGGAGACACACGAGAGTGGAAGGGACGATGAGTCGTTCAGTGTCTCTCCTGCTGATCCTCAGCGTCTTGACCATGTTCATGGTACGAGCGCGGGGCAATGACAGCAGGATCGTAGAGGCGAGGGAGAAGCTTAAGGAGCTGCAGGAAGAGCTGGCTGCGCAGGAGAAGCTTGTTCAGATGTTGAAGGACCAAGTCCCTCAATGCAGTCCTGATGATCGTGAGTGCAAGAGCGACGCTCGGAGGCAGGACAGGAAGTATAAGGTAGAACGCTGCTGCATTGCTATGCTTTCACTTGACCCTGTCCCCCCCCCCCATCCTGACAGAACCGCCTTGGAGGATTCGCCGATGATCCCTACGAGGATGGTCTCAAACTCACCATGCAGACGCAGCTGAAGCTGAAGGGCAAGGCAACCATGTTGCGGTGGCTTCCCTTCTTCACCATGGACGCGCATTCAGCAATAACGAGGTTGATGGTTGCTGTTGACTCCAAGGGCTTCCTGCATGTTCTTGACAACGCTGCTCACGTACTGTCCTCCTGGCCCTGTGGACATGCCTCGAGCGTCACGTCACTGGCAGTCTCTCCTCCTCTAGGGAACGTCTGCTACATTGCGACCGGGAGCAAGCATGGCGAAGTACGTGTACATTCCTTTCCTGTTCCTCCCAAGTTTGAGATCAGTCCTGCGTCGTCGAGGATCGCGTTGAAGCAGGCGCGAAAGATTGGCAGGAACGGCTGGAAGCCAGTCCTGTCCCACGTTCACGATTTCTTTCCCACTCGAACTCAGAGGATCGACAAAATCAGCGACAGGAGCTTTGAAGTCTCTAATACATCCGCTCCTGCGGTGAGGAGGAGGAGGGTTGCTCGTCGTCACACTAACCCTCGTTCCCTGCAGGAGATCACTTCAATGCAGTTCGTTCAGAAGGGCCGATCTCTCAACCTCGTCGCCGGGGACGCAGCAGGGAGGATGTTTTGGATGCTCCTCAATGGATCTTTAGTATCCTCTAGACATATCGATCAGAGCCTGCAGCCTGCGGTGGATGTCAAGATAGAGGATATCGCTGCCCTCCCTGACACCCACTGGATCCTCGCGGGATGGAGTGGAGGCCTGAGCGCCATGGACATCAGACAGGCGTCAATGCAGCAGGTGAAGATGAAGTTGCTGCTGCTGCTGCTGCTGATGATGATGATGATTTGTTGATGAAAAAGATGATGTTTGTGGTTTCCCAAGTCAGGGGGTCGTCATTTACCTCACTTGTAACAGGTCCAATGCGTCAAATTTGTGATCGACAAGCAAGGCAAATCGAGAGGAGAGAAGAAACCGGAAACGCGATTGGTTGACTTCGAGGTTATTTTAAATTTGTTCCAATGTCACTAAGCACGCAGAACCTTGTCTTCTTCTTCTATGTGAGATTGACATGGTAGAAGGCTGTGTTGCTCGATAGATGAGAAAGGAGAGAGAATGTTGCGAAGGATGAATATTGAGAGAGGAATGCAAGGGATTAGATGCGTTGCAAGCTCAACAGATGCGATATGACACTTCGTCTTCAAATGATTGTCTTGAAACATTGCTTTACAAACCTTTGAGTTTTGATACGCCAGGTGGCGTCGATGGCGCTGGACGCTGAGATCAAACGGTCTCGATTTCACCTCATGTATGTTGGAACCAAGGCTGGGCAGACTCTAGTCTTACAGGTAGAGAAAATTCCTGAGTATGTCTGAGCAGTTGGGAGCAAGAGGAAACGTTCATGACATTATTTGATGAGAGCGACGTGTCTTTGTTGCTGTTGATCTTGTCGTTTCAAGATTCGTCGGGACTTCGATCCCAAGACCAACTCTGCGCAAGTGAAATGCAGGATTCTGCAAGAAATCAACATCGTCGATGAGACATCGGGCAAGCACGTTCCAGTGCACGTCGCTCTGGTATCTTCAATGTTGAGTCTGCTCGCAAGTTCGATGCCTCAAATATGTTGAGACTGCGATGTTTGTTTTGTTTCTTCTCTGATTCATATTTCTTTCTATGTCCTTCAGTGCAAACTTTCTTTCTAGCCTTTTTGATATCAGTGTTGTGGGTGATATGGTTTGCGTTTTCGCCTTCCGACAAGTTGTTCTTCTATCAATCTCTGAAATCAGCATGTTTGCTGAAACTCACCTTTGGATGGAAGATGAAAGACTATCTCGCGGCAGCGGCGAGCGGGAGTTCCATAACGTCGCTGAGCATGTGAGATATTTCAAGATGACACAGTGATGTTTGAAATCTCTTTGAATAACTTCTCCACTTGTCACAAAAAATTATGATTTCCCGCACCCCATGGCAAATATCTGCTGCTCTCTTTACGTTGACGTGTGCTCGACCTCGGACCCTTCCCTTCTGCTGTGTCTTGCACATCTTGACTAGTTTCACAATTTGACTCTGGTACTCAGCTACAACATCTCACGTATACCCGCAAACTTTCGTTCTCTTCCTCCCCTTGTCCAGTACATCCCCCTCAAGAGCGTCGGGCAAACCAGCCTTCAGGTCAGTCGAATGGGGCGAGGACAAGGGGGGAAGGAGGAGGGAAAGAGAGAAACAAAAGAGAAGGGGAGGAGGAAGGGAAAGGATTAAAGGAAGGGAGGAGGGGAGGATGAACAGGGGCTGAGAAGAAGAGCAAGAGCAGAGGAAAGAGTAGGAGCATGATGAGGAGCCGAGAAGAAGAGGAGAGGGGAGAGGGGAGAGGGGAGAGGGGAGAGGAGGAGAGGAGGAGAGGAGGAGAGGAGGAGATGTTTGATTGGGCGGATCTGATCCCATGAGCAGGTAGCAGGAATGGAATCATCCGTCCTAGTTATGGGAGGACAGAAGGTAAACCAAGAGAACTAAGAGGAGGGGAGAGGAGGAGGAGGAGGGGAGAGGAGGGAGGGAGGGAAGACCACTGGGGCGGTAACAATCAGCAGGACTTGTGGTTGTACGATATGCGATCTGCCGAGTTTAATTCTCCTCCTCATGAATGGGACATCTCGTTGCTAGAGAACATCCGGCAGCCGGTGAATGTCCAGACGATCTTTCCCTTCCTTTCCCACCCCCCTCCCCTCCCGCTCCTATCTCTTCCTA